TAAAGATAACATTTCAACAAACCAGAAACAACAATCAAGAGAGTCATCAGAAAAAGAGCAGTTGACAATTTCATTTTTTGCAGATAGAAATTGGGTTGTGAACTGTAGTTAAAATAAATAAATGATTAATTAAATAACATTTTCTGAATGAAGTGTAAGAGGTAAAAAAATAACTGAAAATTACAATATTTTGTAATAGAAGTATAAACTAATGGCTTTTTGCTCTGGTTTATTGTTATCCAGAATAAAATATTTTGAAACAACTATTACTAACTTTCAAATTATTGTAAATAGGAATCTTAAATAATATTTTTTTCAATAAAACTGAATAATAAATAATTATTTTGATTTTATGATAATAAAAAAATATTGTAAACTGTGACAATTTCACCCGATTTCTAAAATATCAAATACAAGCAAAAATTNTTCCAAAAAAAAAAAAAAGCTACAATTTAAATACCTTAAACTAGAAGAAAAGTAATAGTTTTAAACAACTTATGCCCTTTTTTCTTATAAAGTTTTATCTGAGCTTTATAACAGAAATATAGCTGACATTTTAAAAACTATTAAACTTTTTTAAGTTGAAAGTTACGAAAATCAATTACTTATTTTGCGATGAATAATTAATAAATAATTTTACTTTGGTTTGTTTTCCTACACAATGAAACGTAGTAAAATTTTTTCTAAAGTTAAAAGAAAACTAGATAATGGGAAAACTAGACAAGCAATTTTCATTCTAAACGGAGATATTTCTTCATTTTTACATTTTGAACCATTTTCATACTAAGTATAGCTATCTTTGGTTAAAAGAGGCCGAAACGGAACATAACATTTATGAAAACTTTCAAAGACACGCAAAAGTTTAAAAAAATTGGCCTGCTATTCAATTGTTCTTTTATTTGAAGGCAGAAGCTTTACTGAACAGGCTCAAGTCTAATTAAAATTATTCATTGATTGCACATTTTAAGATATCTATTGTATTATAAATTGTTGATTGTCTTTTTTTAATTGCTATTTTATGCATTGTCCAGTTCCTTTATTGTGTTTTAAGCATTTGGCATTAAAATTTAATTTATCTATTTATTTTAGTTCAGTTACTGAAAATAATTTTAAGAAAATTAATTCACACATATTGTTGAATGACAAAAGCAAAAAAAAATAGCTCTTTAACTTTTCTATACTCTGATATACTCAGATTCAGCTATGCTCACCGCCTTCAACATATACTTTAAAATTTCTTGTCAAAAATGAAAAGTATACATATATCTAATGTTAGAGAACAACAATTAGTATTTAAACCAGGAAAAAAAATTTATAAAGCATTTTAAAATATTTTATTAAAAATATGTGTTTCATTGCATGAAAACGTGTTTGATTACTGAAGGAAAGTAAAAGGAGAAAAATGTGATTTTCAAAACCTTCAATTTTAATACGCATTGAAAATTTATTTTGATGTTTTAAACTCACATACCTCAAGATTAATTCGTCAAAATTTGAGCATTTTTTTCTTATTTTAAGTTTTACAATGCGATCCTTCCTTGAAGACAAGGGTTTTAAATATATAGAGTGCTCCGTAAATACCATCCTTAATATGTTATTTTAGAATCTTTATTTAAAATGCAAACCAAAAAGCATTAAAGGTCCAAAATTTATATTAAAGCAATAAAAAATATAAAATAAAGTAAAGTTCTATCGAAATCTGAGAAATTACAGTCAAGGCAGTCGATTAGGTTCAAAACAGGTTTAATTGATGTTAAAACTTGAAGGTTTTTCTGATAAAGCTATTTAAAAGGTGTGAAAGTTTCACGACTCCTCTCTGTAATTTTTACCGAAACACGTTAAAATTAACAATAAAATATGTTTTTATTATACGTGATAAAATTTTGTAATTTTATCATGATACCTTAGAACATGTTGTGAAATTTATTTAATTAGGTAAATTTACTTTTCATCTTTATACTTTTTACTAAACGTGTATTAACACGAAATACAGTTATGAAAATCAGAATGTCTGGTAAACCGTTACCATATGAGCAGAAAATACATATTATGGTTTTATTAACCAAAATCAGGTCTTTTTACCAATAATGACAATACCATGCGAAATTTTAACTATATTTTTTTCTCCATGGAATGTTCATCTACCTCATCTTGAAAATATTTTACACATAAATAATTACTTAAAAACTATAATATCTGTAAAAATTAAGTATTTTTTCCATGTGTCATTCAAATAGTTATCATAAACAGTTAATGTAACACTATCTATATTTTAAGTAAGATAACAAAATTAGTTATTGGGACAAAAAATTAGTCCCCTCATAAGAAATCGCAAAAATCGTCATTGAATGTTGCGTAACTTCGAGTAAGAACTTAATAACAGCTCATTTAGAAAAGATGTGAGTCCGTAAAGTTCTTCAGAAATGTCATATCCAGTTTAATGCGACACTCACTGAGGATTTTGCTTCGCAAATCCTCTGAATAGCGGGAACTCAGATTTTGGCGTTTTAGCGTTCCCCAACATGTCTCTTAAGAGTTTCCTCAGGGTTAAGGTCCGATGATTTTTCCCGAAAATCGTAAGATAATGCGGTGAATGAGTACCAATAAAAGCAATCGCCATTTCTTCTGAGCAGATGAGCTTAGCTATTGCTATCTTGAAAAAAAGTGGTATCAACAGCAAACTCAATAATGAAGTGGTTGACTGAAATGCAATCCTTCAGAAAAATTCATATAAATGTTTACCTCTGTGCGCGAACCTAATCTGTAATAAAATATAAAACACCCTCAAATCTCCGCACACCTATTTTCAGCTTCAACTTGGCATCACAATTGGGGATTTGTATTTTCTCAAATGAGCTTATGGGTAAGATAAGATAATCCGACTATTTATGTTAGACTAAGATATTTACGACTAAAGATAACATTTCAACAAACCAGAAACAACAATCAAGAGAGTCATCAGAAAAAGAGCAGTTGACAATTTCATTTTTTGGAGATAGAAATTGGGTTGTGAACTGTAGTTAAAATAAATAAATGATTAATTAAATAACATTTTCTGAATGAAGCGTAAGAAGTAAAAAAATAACTGGAAAATTACAATATTTTGTATTAGAAGTATAAACTAATGGCTTTTTGCTCTGATTTATTGATATCCAGAATAAAATATTTTGCTAACTTTCTATTACTAACTATTACTAACTTTCAAATTATTGTAAATAGGAATCTTAAATAATATTTTTTTCAATAAAACTGAATAATAAATAATTATTTTGATTTTATGATAATAAAAAAATATTGTAAACTGTGACAATTTCACCCGATTTCTAAAATATCAAATACAAGCAAAAATTAAATCTCATCATAAAATTTTGCCCATTTTAATTTTAAACAGTAGCATTATTTCCTCAAAACAGTATTTTCTATAACTTTCTTTCAATATATAAAAATAATTTTGAATTTTTTTACATTTTTTCCCATGTTCAATAGTTTGGACTAACAAGGGAAACTAGGGAAGTGTGACTCGCCAATTTTGAAATAAACTAGTGGGATGTATGCAGGTGACGAACCTCCTAATGTTNGAACTGTAGTTAAAATAAATAAATGATTAATTAAATAACATTTTCTGAATGAAGCGTAAGAAGTAAAAAAATAACTGGAAAATTACAATATTTTGTATTAGAAGTATAAACTAATGGCTTTTTGCTCTGATTTATTGATATCCAGAATAAAATATTTTGCTAACTTTCTATTACTAACTATTACTAACTTTCAAATTATTGTAAATAGGAATCTTAAATAATATTTTTTTCAATAAAACTTAATAATAAATAATTATTTTGATTTTATGATAATAAAAAAATATTGTAAACTAGGACAATTTCGCCCGATTTCAAAAATATCAAATACAAGCAAACATTATACCTCATTAAAAAAATGCCCATTTTAATTTTTACAAATAGCATTATTTCCTCAAAACAGTATTTTCTATAACTTTCTTTCAATGTATAAGAATAATTTTGAATTTTTTTACAATTTTTTCCATGTTCAATAATTTGGACTAAGTGACGAGATATATGAGATTTTTCGCTTGAATGACCGAAACTGTTTGATATCTTAACTCTGTTGAGAGTCACGTGATAAAGAGTTTTGTTTTGTTTTTTTCATTAACCAAATACGATCAAATTTTCCATTATCTTTTGATAACAGCAACATTTCAAACTCAAATTTTAAAAAATTAAAATTAAATATTTTTTAAATATGTTTATACCATGTGCGAAACAATAAAAAAAGAAATGTGTTCATCTCCAAATTTTCTTTTCATATTTGACAAACTACTCTTTTACAATTGCATTCAAATCTAAAACATAGTTATTAAGGTCTTTCTAAAGTTAAAAATGTATATTTTAATATTATTGCACGTGTTTGTATTACATTGCACTTTTCAATATCAATAGGAACGTGCATAAAATGTCTTCTCATATGCAAGAAAAGAGTTAAAATACAATTTATGCACAGTAAAAGTTTTCATTAACTTATATTTACTAAAAATTTAATAGAATAAGATGCTATTACATTTCCGACACGTATCCTTATTTTTAACGAAATATAATTCTAATTTTATTTTTTATATAGTCTATTTATGAACTTCAAGAAACAAATCAAGAAACACATATTAAGAAACACAAGATCGCATAAGAACAAACACATATTACACACATATTAACAAACGAATTTAGAAACACATATGCTATAGAAAAACATCTTGAAAAATTAGAATATCATCCTCAATCCCGTTATTCTGAACCAATGCATTATTTGAGTTAATTTCAGTGCTTAAACTCTATTTACTTAAGTATTCGTTTAAAATTATGTTCGGAAACAAAATTTTAATTAAATAAAAAAAATTTAAATATTTTTCGAGATGAAATAAATTATAAAAGACTAAAGAACTTTAAAAGACTTTTAAATAAAAATATAAAGACTAAAGAAACAATATTTACCAGACAGATTAAAACTAGCTGTTAAAATACACACTTGCAATAAAGTTAAGTGCTACCCATAATTTAAAGAGAAATGCGTGTCATCAAATTATTTCAAAATATAAATCTTTATCATTCATTCCTTCGTTAGATTTTGAAGTTTGCTTTTTCCTTACATAAAATATTTGTATCACATATGCTCACTTTTCAAGGATAACATTAATCATATATTTGTGCCTCTGTAATATAAAAACAAATTTATCTGACTGACTTTCTGGAAGAAAAAAAACGAATGTTATTATCACAATAAACAAAAAGCTATATGTATATTTACAGCCTTTTTTTGCCCGTGAGTTATTTATTAATGATTGTTTTAACTTGCTGTTTTCTGTTTTTCTATTTCACTTTTCAATTCTTTTCTGTTATTTATTCGTTTTTGAAAACTACTTAAAATGAAAGGAACAAAACCGGATGTGGTGCTTTATTTTATTATCACCTTATTTTATCTTATAAGTATCATTGTCATAAAAACATTACATTTTATCATATACAGATTCAATTACCTTTTTTAATTATTAAAAGATAATACGATGCTTAAAAGAGATTTTTAAAAAAAGGTACAATTACTTTTCAAAGATTATAATTCTTGTTATATCATAACTGGAATAATATATAATTTTATCAGCTGCATAATTAAATCATAAAATTCTTGTATGAATTTCCCCTTATTTTATTTTATAAGTATCATTGTTTTAAAAACATTACATTTTATGATATACAGTTTCATTTACCTTTTTTTTTAATTATTGAAAGATAATGCGATGCCTAAAAGAGATTTTTAAAGAAAGGTACAAGTACTTTTTAAAGTTTATAATTCTTGTTATATCATAACTAGAATAATATATAATTTCCTCAGTTGCATAATTATATCATAAAATTCTTGTATGAATTTCTTGTACAAATTTGACATTGTAATATTGAATTAGGAGTTCTACCCCTTTCTCGCTGCGCTCTCAAACCCCCGGAACTGTTTTTGTAGCACTTCTTTCAGGGTTTTTTTTTAATTTAAAAGGTATATAATCAAAATTGATAGCCAGCGAAATGTACTTGGCTCAAAAGACGAACCATTTAAAATTGCGCAGTAATCTTTATGGATTGAAGAGCGTAAGGGAGTAAGGGGTAAACCCTGCTTTTAGCTATAAATTGTTTTATTTTTTTGGTATTTTCTGGAAAAATTATTAAGACATAAACAAACAATTCAATGTCAATGTATAAATTTTTTGCACTTAAAAAAGGTGGTTAAGAATTTCATCGAAAAACTAGTAAATGTCTTTTATCCTTTTCCTTTTATCATAAAATTATTTTGTTAACACAGGAAACAAGGCTATATATTTCATCATAATAGAGTGAAGAAAATCCGAAGACTCGAGTTGAGCCTGATAACTCAGTGATAAAAGCTCTACTAATTTCAGCAAATTGTTTTCAAATAAAAATGCTTGCATGCGAAAAATGCATGTTAAAATTAAATTATTTTATTCTCATCTATGGTTCAAACTAACGCAGTTCAAACTAACTTAGTTAATGGCAGATAGTCAGAGATGAAGATTTAAATGTCCCCTTTTAAAAATTGCTCCTTGTATACTTAATTGCTCTTAAAAATCACAATATTTGAGTCGAAACCAACAAATAACTCAAAAAAAATATTCATAATCAAAAACTTTATTTTTCATGCGAAACAGAATTACAAAAGCATTCAAATCGAGGTTGCATATTTAAATATAATTACAAAGATACCAATATATTTATTATATTTAAAGCTCTTAACTATGTTAAAAATCTTGCAATGGAAGCAAATTTCTTAAATTTTCAAACATATTATGAAATTTAAATCGAAAATAGAGTAATTTTAACCGAAAATAGGGTTTTAAAAGTTAATAAAAAAAACATAAATTATCTAAACTTATCTTTTTATTTGGGAAAATATTACTCACTTAGCTTTTACAAGTTCACAGGAAAGAATTTTGAAGTGCAAATTAATAAAAGAAAAGTTAATAATAAGATCTTGAAGCTTATATCCATCATTATTCTGAAGGGAGAAAACAAAATATTTCATTGGTTTAATATTATATTGTTTATTAAAATTTTTTTCCAGATAGGAATAATAATTTACAATTAATTTGTCATTATAAAGAGAGCTTTTACTATTTCTTGATCCCCGTTTGCCTCGATTTGTACGCTTATCTTTAATATGAAAGAGTGAGTAAGTTGAAGAGTTATTTAAGTTAATTTGTGCATGTTGGAAGGTATCGCTTAGCCCATACGCTAAAATTGTTCTATATAAAAGTATTTTTTCTTTTTCGTATTCTCAAATAGATACTCTATCTAAACTACTATACCTAATAGATACCTTCTACTATATCTAAAATGTAAATTTTTACGCTGATAAATTATGTTCTCTAAAATGTTCAATTCTAGGTCATTGATAATTTTATTACTGTTTATATCTGAACGATGTTGATTAATTCTAATATTAGGAGAGCTACTGGTTTGTCATTACGAAAACCACAGGTTAACGTTTAAAAAACATTTTAAATTTAACAAGCAGATTTGGAGCTATCGTTATTATGAATTACATATTTTTGTCAATAGTATGGCAAGTTTTGCATCTTTTAACACCTCATGCCATTTTCGAGCCAATCGTTGGTAACTAAGAAATCAGACAATATTTAGTACTGCTGCAAAAACGTGCCATGAAGCAAATTCCTCTATTAACGCTCTTAACTCCATTTGCGCTTCTGCTTTGATATTTTGTAATTTGGCAATCTTATTACGAAAATATTTTAAATCATTCTTGAAAGATTCTGGTAAATGTAAGTTCATTTGAATTAGCTACTCAATCCATAGATTTTGCTTTGTGTTTTGTTCTATTTTTTCTTGACATTTTATTGCATGATAGATTTTTTACTTAATGTGCTCGATTTTGTTTCATGTTTTTAGTGCTTCTCACACTATTGTATTGATTTTGCTTTGGCTATGTTAATACAGTATTAGAAAGCACTCCTCCTTGCGGATATAATCGTGTGAGCGGATGAAGATATTATATATTTTTATTTTTTTCCGGCTTTCTAATATAT